GCTGGTTGGGGGCAAAAAATTAGTATTTGTGACTCAAAAGTAGGTTTTAAAAATTTGGGGTTATCATTGCAATTAATTCTTTAATTTCTCTTTTCTTTTCCTTTTGTTTCAATTGAATGGAGGGTAAAATCGTCAAAAAGTTGTGAAAATGACGTTCAGCGCACAAAAAGTGGAAGCTAGGGGTATAAATGCCAAGAAATGAAAGGTAGGGACGGTTTTCGAAATCCACCCCAAAGGTAGGGACGTTTTGTGCTAATTAGCCATTTATAATATTTAATAGCTGATTTTTGAATTTAGGGAATTAGGGTGAAAATCATTGCTAATATTATCCAATTAATTCTTCCAAATCCTTAGCTTGAGCTTCCAATCAAGAATCACCTTTTCAAACATATACTTCTCCAATTTTTGTTTTACTGCAAAAATTTAAGATTGGGACCACTCACGGACAAAAAATTATTCGACATGTCGGATGTGGAGGAAGAAGGTGAATGTTAGCACTTCTTTTTTAACCTTTTTTGGCTGTATTAACTCTTTAAGTAGCATACAGTCTCCTTTAATGAGCTGGACATTAGTTGGGTCCTTTTTTGGCCGTATTGTATTAACTCTTCACGTTGGACAGTAGTTGGGTCCTTTTGTTGTGCAATAAATTGCTCTATTGGAGGAATATGTTTGTTTTGACAAATTCCACATGTTTTTATTTTCCAGTCATTACAATGTCAGCTAAGAAATTTATAACATTCTATTGTCTAGATTATTTGAACAGTGACTCGGATAAAGAAGACATCACCTTCAATGATTCCGATTATAGCCTTGGTGAAGAAGACAACATTCTCTTTGAGGAAAATGTTAACTAGAATATTGAACTTGATACGAGGAATGAGATAGTGTCGTTGGAAGCAACAAATGAATCTAACAATTCTGAATATGTACCCTCAGATGATCTTCGAAGCGTGCATTCTGAGCACGAAGAAGTTGATACGTACCCAAAATTTAATGGTGAAGTAGTATGGTAGATCCCGTGCTTGATGTAGGTCTTAAGTTTAGGTCGAAGAAGGAGGTAAAGACTGTGGTTAAAAACTTCAGCATTCATAATAGGTTTGAGGTAATATTTCCGTATAATGATAAAAACAAATTAGAAGGTTGTTACATGGTTGTAGACCAATTATTTGCATATATGGGTGCTTCTTGAAGGGCAATTTTGGTAGTCAGTTACTTGCTGCGGTGGGCATTGATGGGAATGATTGTATATTCCTAATTGCACATGCCATTGTTGAAACCGAAAGTAATACTAGCTGGTCGTGGTTTTTGAAATTGTTAGGGGAAGATTTGACGCTCGAAAATGCACATGGAGTTACAATTATGTCTGATAGACAAAAAGGGTTAGAGAATATGGTGTCTGAGTTGTTACCAATGGTTGAGCAACGGTTTTGTGTAAGGCACATGTACTCCAACTTCTTTCGCAAAGACTTTAAAGAGTTGAAGTTTAGAGATTTGTTGTGGAGAGCAGCAAAGTCTACTTATTTGGCTGATTTTACATTTTAGATGGATAAAATGAAGGAGGAGAATAAACTTGCTCGGGAACCATGTGCTAAACCAACCGAGCAATGGTTGAAGTCCCATTTCATGACGGCTTCCAAATGTACATTTTGTTAAACAACATCTGCTAATGCTTTAACAACTACATAAAGGAAGCGAGAGGGAAGGATATTTTGACTCTTCTTAGTTAATACAAAACAAGGTGATGGTACGGATGTACAAACGTCGCGATATGATGGCAAAGACTTCTAGCGATATATGTCCAAAAATTGTAAAGAAACTTGAAATGAATACACGTGATTATTTTTCGTGGAAATCATTATTCAATGGGAAAATGCAATTTCAAGTTTCTGGACCTTATTCCGATGGTCAGTTTGTAGTAGATTTACAAAAAAGGACATGCTCACGTAGAAAGTGGGATGTAATTGGTGTGCCTTGTCCACACACAATAGCCGACATCCGTGAATGGGGTAAGGATCCTTTGTAGTTTGTAGACGAGAGCTATAAAGTTGCAACTTACTTAAAATTTTACGGGAATTGCATATACCCTATAAATGGACCAAAAATGTTGCCTTCGAGTGGCTTCGACCCCGTAAAACCCCCAATGTGGGTGACCAAAAAACAAGGCAGAAAGTAGACAAAGCGTCGAAGAGGGGTTGAGGAAGCTGTATTATCCAAAGAGAAGATGAAGAAGATTGATAGGAGATGTGATGACAAGAAGAGAATGAAATGTAATATTTGCAGTCAAACGGGTCACAATAAAATATGAACCATGATTCACAGGCAAGCTACACACCAAACGAGGTATGTACCATATTATAGTTGTAGGAGTATATCTTATTTTTATTTTATTTATTATGATGGTTGACATCCTTTTTCATGAATTGTAGGACATAAATGGTCCGATGGAATGGGAAGTCGCAAGAGCAAATATTGGACAGCAATTTGCCAATTCACAGCCAACTAATGGTGGAAATGAACAACGTGTAGTGCGGCGCTTTCTTTCCCAACCTACTGATGGTGCTAGACAAACAGGGTTTGGTGGTTCGACGTCCTTCGTGCCAAAACCAAGAACCAATTTCAATAGGAAGGCATCTGTACCTCAGCGAAGGCCAAGAGCTAGTGGAAGTTTGAACTCAACTCTTAGCGAAGCATGGAAGAACTTGATGACGAATGACGCGGGTTGATGTCTATCATATGTTTTTTGACAAAGAACTCCATTTTGATAGCAACCATCTAGTTTTTGTCATTGTTCCTTTTATGATGAAATGTGGAAGATTGTGAGTGATAATTCACTCATAACGAACTCTATTGTACGCGTTGAGTGATATTTCACTCATAATATAAATGTCATTATAGCATGTGCCAATTACGTATTCTGCTCATTGCATTTTGCTCATTGATAAAGTAGCAGCAAATTGCATTTTGCTCATCAATTGCAGTCATCGAAAGAACCTAAGAGACACATGATAACATTACTCATCACAAAGCCAATTAACAAAAATGAGAATGTACCTTATTTTAGGCTACTAAAGAAAAAAAATAGGAAAAATCGTCTTCGTTCCTTCTCTCTCCCTCTCTCTCTCTCTCTCTCTCTCTCTCTCTCTCTCTCTCTCTTGTGGTGGGGATGGGGGTTTTCACCCTATTTGGATGATATTAGCAATGATTTTCACCATGATATTTCACTCATAATATAAATGTCATTATAGCATGTGCCAATTACGTATTCTGCTCATTGCATTTTGCTCATTGATAAAGTAGCAGCAAATTGCATTTTGCTCATCAATTGCAGTCATCGAAAGAACCTAAGGGACACATGATAACATTACTCATCACAAAGCCAATTAACAAAAATGAGAATGTACCTTATTTTAGGCTACTAAAGAAAAAAAAAAAAGGAAAAATCGTCTTCGTTCCTTCTCTCTCTCCCTCTCTCTCTCTCTCTCTCTCTCTCTCTTGTGGTGGGGATGGGGGTTTTCACCCTATTTGGATGATATTAGCAATGATTTTCACCCTAATTCCCTCTCAAAATCGACTTTCATTATCATGAAACATCATGGCCAAAAAGAAATGAAATTTTGGGGGGCTTTATTGTGAATTTGCGATTTAGGTCCTCAAGGTTCAACATTCAACTATTTTGGTCAATTAAGTTCCAATTAAAATGAAAAGGTCATTCGGTGACCATTACTGAAATCGAATGTAACTTTAGTGACCGTTAGTGCAAGTTTTAAATTTCAGTGACATTTTTGTGATTTTGACGTAACTTCGGTGACCGTTTGTGAAATTAATCCGTTAATTTTTTACTGCACTTATAAAACAATTCATAATAGTTGCACGTTTAACGTTGACTAGTATCGTAAATTACCGTAATGTTAATAATTTGAATTCCAAAATGATTTTTATTTCTTAGTTTCACAAACACAATTTTAATTCGCAAATATGTCAATTAAAATGGGGAAAATTACACGTACCTATTTTTTTTTAATTTTTTATTTCAATAATCAAGTCATGTGAATTTTCCTCCAAAAATCAAGTGACAACCCCCAAGCCACCTATCCATACCCGTGCACCATTGACGGAATCACCTCCCAAACACAATCCACACTTTTAATTGACCCACATCATCATGTGAGGCCCAAAATCTGCAAGAAGAGCTTTAGAATTCGCAAATCAAAAACCTTGAATTTGGTTGCCATCGATGGAACACAACGTTGATAACCTACACCCATGGCGTAGGTTGTGCTTCTGCGTCAGTAGTTTATTATAATCTGATGGTAGATTGAGGTATGTTGAAGGTGAAGGTGGTGAAGATGATGATGGTTTGATTGTGGAGGTGTTCGTGGATTTGAAATGGGTGAGATAGGGTAATATGAAGAGTGATTTTGATCGGTTAATTAGGTAATTTGTGACTGTAATAGTTTGTGAACTATTAAAATGTATGGTTTGTGACTGAACATGTAATTGTGATCCATAAATTACTTATTGTGACTTATTATCTTTTGCGATTTGTGACTATAATGCAATCGTGATCATAAATTATTTGTTATTGTGACCGTAACCTATTTAATTGTATTATAGGTCTCAATATTCTAATAGATTTACAAAATATAATCACTTGTTTTTTGAAAAAAATTCCATAAGTTTGTTATTTTTGAAAATGTATCTTGAAACATTCGTAATTATGTAGTTTTTCAGCGAGCAGTTTATTATAATCCGATGGTAGATTGAGGTGTGTTGAAGGTGAAGGTGGTGAAGATGATGATGGTTTGATCGTGGAGGTAGTGATGGTGGTGGATTGGATATGGGTGAGATAGGGTAATATGAAGAGTGGTTTTGATCGGTTAATTAGGTAATTTGTGACTGTAATAGTTTGTGAACTATTAAAATGTATGATTTGTGACTAAACATGTAATTGTGATCCATAAATTACTTATTGCGACTACTATCTTTTGCGATTTGTGACTATTATGTAGTCGTGATAATAAATTATTTGTTATTGTGACCGTAACCTATTTAATTGTATTATAGGTCTCAATATTCTAATGGATTTACAACATATAATCACTTGTTTTTTGAAAAAATTCCATAAGTTCGTTATTTTTGAAAATGTATCTTGAAACATTCGTGATTATGTATTTTTTCCACGAGCATTTTGTTTTATTCAATCATACTTTAAAAATGCTCGGCTTGGCTCGGCTCGGCTCGGCTGACCTAGTTTGCAATATTGACAAGTTTGTACGTCATTCCGAATCAGAATTTGAAGATGGATCGAGCTTAGTCCTAACCACGTTTTAAAAAAGTTTATTTATTTTAAACTTTGTGAAGCATTCACTAAAATGGGGCGAATTAGGGCTGTCCATGGGTCGGTTCGGTTCGGTTCTGAAGATACCCGAACCGACCCAAAACTTTCGGGTATTTAATAAATGGACCCATCGGGTCCAAATATAATTATGGAACCGTTCGAGTTCGGTTCGGTTCGGGTCGGTTCGGTTCCGTTCGGTTCCGTACCATAATTAAATTTTTTAATATTTTTAACAACACTACATAAATACAATTAATAACATTTCATTCGTAACTTTTACAAATTAACGTAGCCCAATTCAAAAAAATATACAAAACTAGCCGTCCAATAAGATTAATTCAATACATACAAATACCAAAAAGTAGATATTAATATTACAGCAAAACTACATAAAGTATATTCATTTGCTTCAAATTAAAATGGACTAACAGATTTTAAAATGATTTGGGCTTAAAAATTAAAATTATGAAATAATCTAATTTATTCAATTAATTTGCTAATTTGTATAGGAAAAAAATAAAATAATTTAATTAATTCAATATAAAAAATAAAAAAATTATTTAGTTCTGTTCTTGGTCTAGACCCGAGACCCGACCCAAACCCATCGGTTTTCGATTCGGGTACCCGTTCGGGTATTTAATTTATGAAGAACCGCTCGATTCGGTTCGAGTTCGGTTCGATCCGGTTCAGTTCGGGACTTTTAAACACCCCTAGGGCGAATTGCAATAAACTCAAGTGACTTAAATTTTAAAACAGCACCATTTTCGTTGGGGGTACGTCCTTAAAGTCAAAGTCATTTTCTCAAATGGTCCCTGATCTTTAATTTGTTAATATTCAATCACTATACTTTAACTGTATACAGCACTACCGCTCAAATGGATTAGGGTAATGTAAAAAGCTCATTTGACTAATGCAAATTTGGCAAATCATAGAAAAGTTAATTGTGACAACTTTATCAATATTCCCACTGTATATTGCATCAATTGTGACTAGGGTTTCGCAAGAGCCACCAAGAGATCCAACATTCGACTCGATCGTAGACTGTTGATTGATTGGCTGGCAATCAAATGAGTCTCAATGAATTTGCGATGGTCAGTTCTAACCCTAACAAAATTCGATTTGTTATAAATGCTACTGCTTTCTTTTGATTTTTCTTTTTAATTTATATTTCTCTTTGTGTGTGTGTTTCACGTCTTTGAATTTGGAAAAGGAGAAAGCCACGGCGAATTGAAAATTAAGATTATAATTAACTTTTTTAGTTTATGAAGTTTGTTTAATTAACTTATATTTGCTTGAATTTTTACATTCATTTCAGTCACTTTGAAATTGACTTGTCTTGCTGCTGTATGCAATTATTAATAATGTTAAATGGGGACAATGTGTAATGGGAAGAGATATTATTAGTGGGGTATTAGCTTAATCCACTAATAGGAATACTGTATGTCTGGAAGGAATAAGAATGTGGAATTTTCTGTGAGGAGTCCCTACAACTCACTGCAGCCTAATTAGGGCATTTTTTAGAGGATTAGTTGTTGAACAAGGGCTTTAATAGAAGCTGTGGTTTATGCTCATGTTACCCCTTATAGAAATATTACTGACCCAAATTGAAAGGCAGATTTTTTTTTTTTACAATGCTTTAGCATTTATGCTATGAAGTTGGCAAGATGTTACATATTTGCATACCTGGTTCTCTCAGTTCATATATCTGTCTCACAATGGGGCACAATTTCCTATGCTTTTCTCAACTAGAGGCTAGTTTCTTTTTTGGAGTTGTAAAAGTAGCGCTCATTATTTTATTTGAAGAAATACTTGTTTTCCTTGTTAGATAGAGAGTGCTTCTGCAAAAAGGGCATGGATTTGGTTTCACACAGTAGTGAAATTGTATGACTCAAAAATGTTACTACAATCATTCCAAAAATTTGTAATGAAGAGAGAGGTCACTAGCAACAAAGTAGTGGGACAAAGACAGTGTATAAACTTACATTTATTGCTTTTAATTCATGTGGTGGGAATGAAGGTTTCCAGAAGATACAATATTAGGAAAGTAGGTTGTGCAGCAGTGTTCGTAAGCAATATAAAAAGATGAAGGTTTCTTAATGCCTTCAGTGAGTCAAGAGCCCATTCTTTTGGATGGAAACTTGAATATGTTTTTGTTGGGTTCTTTTCTTTTTTTTTCCCCTTTGAGAGTATTTCATGCTGAAATTTATCATTTTCTTTTTGTTGTTCTCATTCCTTTTACTTATTCTACCTTTTTAAGAAATTACCATTTGTCTTTTGGCTGGCAATCTTGATTTTACCTGGCAGAAATGGTTATTGGGTTAGTAGTTATTGGAACCAGAAAATCAATTTCTTGGAGTCATTTTAAGGCATATTTCACTAAACTTG